ATATATATATATATATATATATATATATATATATATATATATATATATATATATATATATATATATATATATATATATATATATATATATATATATATATATATATATATATATATATATATATATATATATATACGCCACCTCTTACCTTTTTGAACCCTTTCGTGACATGCATATCCTTGTTTATAGACGGATATGGCTGCCACCACACATTGAGCTGATCAAACGCATGGGTCTGCACGGGCTTGTTCTCTAAATGGTCGATAGCCGATGCCACAATATCGCTGAACTTCTCGAACTGCAAGTCAAACAGTTGAGTACCCGACTGATGCAACGCCGTATTACGGTCACTTCGCTTTGCTCGCTCGCCACTGGTTGTGAATGAGTGAGAAGGTGCATGTACGCATTAATGTGTGTGCATGTTTTTATTTACACAGGCATATGAATACACGCACATACACACGTACGCACACGTACATACACGTACACACACATTCACATACGTACACACTCGCACACACACAGGGATTATATCACTATAGCTGCAGTAACACCGAAACGCCTCACAAATGTGGAGTGTCTAAACTGCCACGCGTATATGGGCGTTGCTAAGGCAGTTGTGTTTCGTCTTTCCGATCGCAGATTATGGGATGATGTATTACACAAAAACGTATACATATGTATTTTCATATATTCATAACTTCATATATACATATACACATATTTACGTATATATATATATATTCATTTACCTCCATATGTTCATTGTTTCACATATACATACATGTCTTCATATATATTCATAGGTTTATAAATACACACGTGGATTGACTGCCCCACACCTATACAAATGTCGTACGAACTCAATTCAAATGCGTTGCTAATGGAAACCAGGCGTACACACTGGGGGAGCCCTGATTGACAATGTCACTCTCATCATAAGTATTTGTCTACACACAGACTATTTATGTAGGACACCCCAGAATACTTACGTATCGCACCCCAGACTATTTACGTATCGCACCCCAGACTATTTACGTATCGCACCCCAGACTATTTACGCATACACATCCCAGACAATTCACGTAGGACACCCCAGACAATTTACGTAGGACACCCCAGGCTATTTACGCATACACATCAAAGACTATTTACGTATCACATCCCAGACTATTTACGTACACATCCCAGAAAATTTACGTATCACAACCCAGACTAATTCAGACTATTTCCGTAATACATTCCACACAAGAACTACCCTATGCATACGTTTACGAGAGTTCGTTCACACGCACGTGTATATGTCCGTTGACCTGTGTACGCACAGCACTTACCGTTCAAATTTCTTCACCAAGTCCACCCACTGTTTCATTTTGGACTTGCCCGTTGTTTTCTCTTGGCTGGTTGTAAATGGGAGATGGCAGAGATGGAATTATAAAGGTTAGAAGTATCGTTATAGACGACAGATATGTACATATGAGTGTGATAAACGTAAATGTCCAATATCCGTATATAAATAAATAAATATATATATATATATATGAATGTATATATATATATATATATATGTGCGTGTATATATATATATATATATATATATGCGTGTGTGTGTGTGATAAAGGCGAGTGCCAAATGTCCATACGTATATATATATATATATATATATATATATATATATATATGTATGTATATATATATATACATACATACATATATATATGTATATATATATATATATATGTATATATATATATATTAGTATGAGTGTGACAAACGTATGTGCTCAATATTTTCTGTGGTCCTCAAATAATACTTGGCAAATGGCGATGTCGTGGCATACGTAGTGAACACATACGCTTCTATAAATATATAGTTAAAGAATATTGGAGCAGGGCTGTGAATATAATAGGGGACTCGTAGCTAACACACCACTACAGAATTGGGTGTGCCCAAGTGTCTATAGCTCATTATATGGTGAACAGAGAAAATATACGCCACCTGCCAAGGCCGCCACTGATGTCACGCACGCGACCCACAGTGCTTCCATTGAGCTATAAATAGATTCTATATATAGATTATATATGTTGTAGGTACAGACAGGTACATATAGATATCTAAGCAACATGTACCATCTCCTCTGAATCGCGACTCTGTGGCGCAGCTGAACAGTTGCGATGGCCAAAAAAAGTGAGTGGAAGGCGAGCTGAGCAAATATACGCACAAACCCAAATGTTTACAATGGCACACAAACTCAACACATATGGTGGTAGTGACACATGCAGATACATACATACATACATACATGGCACATACATACCTATATACATGGTACATACATACCTATATACATGGTATATACGTACCTATATACATATATATACACATACATGGTACAAAATTACCTATATACATGGCACATACATACCTATATACATTGTACGTACATACATACATGGTACCAGCTATAGATGCATATTCATACATACATACATATACACTTGAACCCTACACATACACGTGCACGCACTATCATTGCACACCTCCTCTATATTTTCCTACTGAGAGTAGTATGTGTGAGTGCTCATTGGCCTGTACGCCATTGCCTCTGACCAAAAGGAAAGCACTCTTGCCTCACACAGAGACAACAGTGTCCGCATGATCCACATACACAACTTCGACAGTGTGTGTCAATATACACATAAGCCCAACCATGTACCTAAAAGCAGATCCAACGAACGAACATGTATGATTTGCATAGACACTACACATATCTACAGAATAGTAAAGCCTCCATATACTTCCAACCCCATACTCAAATACACCCAACACATAGAAATCCGGTCATATGGATGGAAGCGTATGCATGCGCTCGGTTGCTACTTAGCGTGCGTATGTTATGTACATGTGCGTTGTTATGTGTATGTCAATGCACAGATGTACGTTTATATGACTTCATTTGCCACACCACCAGTGCAAGTGTGCATGGTGGTCACGTGATGACATATCCGGTGACCTCTATCCCAACTCAACATACAAGAGGGGTAGCGTATCCGGAGTTGGCCCTTTAGCCCCTGATCCCTTCGACAAGTAATCACTGAGCAGGGGGAGCAGGGAAATAGCAGGTGAGTAACAAGATACACAGCATATCGTAGTAGTAGAAAAGTGTCAAACCACACACACATATATATTATATATATTATATATATATATATATATATATATATATATATATATATATATATAT